TTGTCGGTACGCATATATTTAATTTTCTATAAAAATACAAGAAAACCCTTATCAAATATGAAAAATATATATGCCCTGCATGTTTAACAATCATAAAAACACTTTTGTACGTGTTTATTTGTAATATATAGGCTCTTGTCGGTTCTTGTCGATTCCTGACGGTTCTTGTCGGTAATTAGGGAGACCCGGCAAAATGGGTTTTTGCACTGCGACATACTGGTACGCCATATTCCAGAGACAGTTCGTGGACTCCACGTTCAGGAAGAAATTCTCAGTTAGTTTGTAGCGCACACTTTGAGAAATCATGTTTCACACAACAAACTCGGACTATGATGAGTCTAGGGATCTCTTGTCGGCCACAGTTGGAGGATTCGGCTGTACCAACGATATTCGCATCATCATTGTCATTTGGTGGAACAGGTCAAACTGATAAAAGACGAGATGCCTATAGGAAAAGAGAGGTTCAGCGGGTATATAACGTTTGATATTTTTTTTTGTTGTATTTGATATCAGTATTGAGTAGGCAGGGCATCATTAAATTTTTTATCAGCTTGATTATTGATACTCATGTCCTTATAACAGTACGGCTAGACAATACAGTGTGTCCTGGCTAGCTGTTCGTGACTGAACTAGGTGGCGCGATGGCTCAGTTGGTTAGAACACTGGCTGTCTTTCCTGAGGTCCTGGGTTTGATCCTGGGTAACACTTTTGCGATTTTTCAGAGACAACTAGAGGTGTACTGGTAAGAAATCCAGGTAATCCTCGCATGTATCATATTCATAAGACATACCGCATGTATCAGTGTAACACACTGTGCACAGCCAGGAACTTGAAATTCTATCAAATAACCAATATTAATGATAATATCCAAATATACCCCCTATATTCTATTTATAAATATTTTTTATAGTATATAGGGGGTATATTTTGCATATTGTCGTTGGCCTATTATCGTTAATAGTGATAGAATTTCAAGTTCCTGTGCTCTGTGCAAGGATCAAGGGGTCCATTCAGTTAGAGGTAATGACTGGTTTGACATTAATGGAAGATAGATAGATAGATAGCTAGAATTTTTGATAATATTTCGGATAGATCACTTATTTTCGGCATGAGGAGAAATAAACCAATAAACCACCTAAATGACCATGAATTAGTTTTAGTTACTATTGTGTTCTTTTAAAGGAGGTAACAAACTTATCAAAGAAGGAAAAAATCTATAAGATAATAACCATGAGTCATCATTGCACATATATGATATACATGTATAATTAAAAATTGTGTTCCTAAATTTCATACAGTTCATGTACTGTTTAAAAGTAAATATTGTACCTCATTTGCAGATTTGCATACGCCCTTCTATATTAAATTTTAATATGATATCATCTGGTCCATAAACCACATACATACTGGGGGCGGTCAATAATTCTTATATAATGGACTGGATGACGTCATATTAAATATAGAAGGGCATATGCAAATGTGGTATAATATTTTATTTTGTTGTTAAATGATTCTTTTTACTGAATTTATTGTTTTGTTTCACATGAATTTATTACATGTTGATTAAAAGTCATGATTTGTCTTTAAATGGATTATACATTTTATGAATACAGTTTGTGAAAATCAAGAATTTTTTTTGCCTGTTTAATTTGATTAACAAAAATTGATTGGTCCCTAGAAGTCTTGTATTTATACAATAGGAAAATTTTAAGGGCGAATGCAACAGAAATCATGGTCGGCTAAACGCATTTTAAGATAAAGAAAGTACAACAGGCAAAATTTTAGCATCATTATGCGAAGAGAGGAAATAAAACATTATTAAAGGCTTAATTAATCAAAATTGTGAAATTTCATCAGAATTGTGAATGGGTCCCTTATTGGGTACCACTTGTACAGGGAAAAAAATTGCTGAATGTACATGCATGTAGTATACATTATTTGTGATAAATTAAAAACTGAAAGTGGCATTTTTTTATTAGGTAAAGTATCAAAAAGGCACAGTTTTGCTTATTCTTTTAAATTATCAGATATTAATCTAATGCTTGTAGGACTAAGGTGGATATATCCAATCCATGTATTTTACGTAGAAACACAATTTCATAATGTTTAGACTTTTATGCTTAATTCATTCCATATTATCTCACCATTTCAAATTTTGATAAATATACAAAATACTGAAGTGACACAAAAACAAATTGCCAAGTAACGGCATTTTTCTAAAATTGACATAGAGGGGAAGTATTTCCCCGAGAGTAACTTCTTTTTCAACAGACCATGTTTGTTTCTAGGTATTTTTAAATCCTTAAAACATAAAAATCGTGGTAGTTGTACATAGCAATGCTTCTCAATCATGCTTCACGCAAGTTTAGCTCCAGGAACACCATTTCATTGAGAGAAATGTGAATAGAAGTATTCATAACCGTTATCTTGTATTAATTTATCTACATGTAGATAACTTCAGATTCTTTGTCTGAAATTTATTGATGTCACTATTTTTAGAACAGATCTCTTATCAGTGATGAAATGATGCTTGTCTCATTTAACAGTTTTATATATAAATCCGATTTCATTAAAAAAAATCAGAATTTTCACAAAGGATAAACACTTGGCTGTACTGGCAAAAGAAGAAATGAAAAATCTGGAATATCCTTATAATGATTGTACTTTCTTGTTTATTTATTAGATTGTGCAGGAGTATGAAGAGACTAGAAAGGTAGAAGAAAATATATCTTCAACCATTCAACCGGAAATATCTTCAGATAGCAGTGGTGTAGCCAATAGTCAAGGACTGAAAGGAGTAACGGCCGTGAATGTGGAGGTTTCTACAACCCAATCAAGTCAACCTGAAGTTGTCAGTCAATCTGAGGTACAGAAATCATTTATAACTATCTCTGCTAATAAATAGAAATTCAGCCTGTGGTGTTTCAGGGCACTTGTCTCTTTGTCTCCCAGCAGTGGTGGACTGGTGGTTACTTCTATATTGGCAATAATGTAATGAGTTTTGTATAGTTTTTGTTTATTTTGAAAGCCTAGGATATTATGTTAATTATAGGAGTGTTTGTTGAGTTTACTGCTCCTTGACATTCATTTGAATATGAATACAAAGAGTGATTGAAGTGACCTAGTGATCAATAAGTGGTAATTGTATAATAGACTCTTATAATGCTAAATATATACAAAATCATTTATGTGTGTTTTAACCTTCATATATTTCATGTAGTATTATCCTTCATATATTTTATGTAATATTTGTAAATTTTATTATTACAGCACATATCAAATGATTCACAAGGCAGCTCATCACTTGTAAATGAAGAAAATACATCTGTGAGTTCAGTCTGTTCCTGCAGAAACAATGTCTTGGATGTCCCACCCAAGGACCTTATGGTAATTACAATATTTTAACTGTTAAAATCAATTGCTTTTCATTATTTTCAAAGGATGTTAATCAGTGGTTCTTAAATTCACCAGATTATAATTTATATGTATAAGTAGGGAGCATGTCTACTTGAGAATTGAGAGGTTCCAGGTTGGATTCTAGGTCTTGTATTCAGTCTGTTACCTTAGAAACTTCATTATTTTATTCGCAAATAACGCTTATGATGCGAAATATTACTTTTAAGCTCACCTGAGCTAGCTCAGGGTGAGCTTTTAGTATCGTTGAATGTCTGTCGTCCGTCCACACTTATTCGTTAACACTCTAGTGGTCACATTTTTGCCCCAATCATCATGCAACTTTGTCAGGATGCTTTTGATGATTTCTAGGTCAAGTTCAAATATGGGCCATCTGGGGTCAAAAACTAGGTCACACTGCTCAAATATAAATAATAATTGTTAACACTCTAGTGGTCACATTTTTGACTCACCTGTCATGAAACTTGGTCATGCTTGTCTAGGTATGTTTGGATGAGTTCGATGGGTCAAGTGAGCAATCGAGGGCCATCTTGGCCCTCTTGTTTGTTCAAGTTTTTCCGCTGTTTCTTATAGTGATATGGGCTGATGAGCTGGTATAATCAATATCAAACTTAGTCTTATTTATGCCGTGACATTCTGTAGAATATATGAAATGTTATCTCTGCAGAATGCAGCTCACTATAATTTTGTATTCTGAAAACCATCACATTATTCACTATTAAAATTTGCTAATTCTCCATCAAATGTTGAATGTTTTTTTTTCATAGGTAAAGCCCAAGATGAAGTCGAGGTCGGTGCAGGTATGTGTGCCAGAACAGAAACCCAAGACAACTACAAGAGGTCTGTATTTTAATGAGTCACAGGTAGAAATTAAAGTGGTTCTGTTTTCAAGCCAAAGCTATTCTTAAAGTTATTTGGTCACATATATACAGCCCAAAGCACTTTGTTGCACTTTTCCAAAGTGAATTGAATTGTTACAGGTACTTCAGGACATACTTTATGCATCTTTGAAAACATCTGAGACTAAGGCACTAGACTTCAGTATCAGACTATCAGTATCTTCTTTTGAATTTGCCATGTTTTGTATTCAAACTCAAATGATTGGGAAGTACAATTGGTACAAAGTGGTTCTACTCGCTACAGTGAAACAGAATGATATATAATATAAAGAAATAAGGATAATAGTTAACTGTATATTCAATTGTATTGCATACATTTCATTATACTGAATGTGTTTATCTTCACAACTGGAGTGAAAAAGCTTTAGAGTATTTTATTGTATGTGGTACAATAGTAAAAGAAATTATGCAAGAATTCATTCATTCATTTTCAATTTTTGATAGTTTAAAGATAGATAATAATATTTTGTCACATTTCAAACAAGAATAAGGTACTATTAATCTTTAGAAAATTTGTGTTGTGGGTATTCATTCTTTTTATGGATAAAAAAATAATTTTTTCAGGTACACAGTACAAACTCACAGACCTCAGAGAATCCTATAGTGTCACAAAGGAGACACAGGTTGATCCTCTTGATTTTCAACCAATGCCAGCTACCCCCACCATGCAGAAGACCTCCACCCCAGTATCAACACCAATCAGTAAGTGTACATCCCCAAACACAACATTCAGTTCCGCCACCGAAAAACATGACTCTACTTGGGAACCAACATCAGATATGGATGACAGTGAAGATGATACTATCATTGATGAAGATTGGGACAGGTGAGGATTTATTTAAAGTTTGAAAACTGTAACTTGCATTCTAAGCTTGAAATTTAGATTGATTAGTGGTGACAAAGACTGTGCATGTTACTTTGTTAAGCTTTTTAGCTTGTGTCTTTTATGATATTTACCTTGAAGGTAAAATTATTAAATTTTCACTGACTTGCTATAATTGACTGTAACTTGGTAATTAATGAATTTATTATCTCCATACTTGGAAAGAAGCAACAATTCAGACAACACATAGTTATGCCCATTCTTAAGTTAAAATTTAGTTAATATTTATCAGCCCTTTAACTGGCAAAGCTCTCATTCAAAAGTCAGTACTCAAAATTTGAGCATCTTTGACAGCTTTTTTTTAGCTTGCCTGTTACAAAGTGACATGTTGAGCTTTTGTGATCTCTTTTCGTCCGGCGACAGTCCATTAACTTTTAGCTAGATCTTAGATATTTGACATGAAGCATCTTCTAGTGAGTGTATATCAAATGTGTTCAAATAAAATCCCCAGGGTCAAATTGGCTCCACCCTGGGGGTCATTGATTTTAATTATATGTCTATAGTAAAAACTTAAAAATCTTTTAAATAACCAATAGAGCTAGAGCTTAGAAATTAAGTATGAAACATCTGCTAGTGAGTGTCTACCAAATTTTTTCAAATAAAAGCCCAAGGGATAAATTGGCCCTGTCCCGGGGGTCTGATTTTCCTTACATATCTTTCTTGTAAAAACTAAGAAAATCTTCTTTAAATAACCTCAAATAGCAAAGGTCTAGATATTAAGCATGAAACAATTAAATGGGTGTCTACAAAGTTTGTTCAAATAAAAGCCTTCAGGTCAAAATTTAGCCCCATCCTAGGGGTTCATTGATTTTACTTATATATACATGTATATAGTTAAAACTTAAAACTCTTCTTGTGAAAATCCAAAAGAGCTAAATCTTAGATATTTTGCATAAAACATCTTCTATTGGATGTCTACCAAGTTTCTTCAAATGAAAATGATTACCCAATCGAACTCAACCATTTACATGAATATAGATTTATTAGATTAACACAGTGAACCGTTAATACGGGGGATAATAATTCCTAATATTTAAAATGATGACGTATTAGACGACCTAATGACGTACTTTCAATCCACCTATGTAAGCTGGAAAACATTTAGGCCTATGTCCTAGTTAAACTTCTGTTGGCTCAAACTACCAATCTCTCGGACAAATTTGCTCAGACCCTCCGAGTTTGAGCGAAAGAAGTTTGACTGTATATAACATCTTTCACGTACGTAGGGGGACATCTGTGTCCTATTCAAATTTTAATTTCTTCTGTTTCACTGATAACACAGTTGGTATTTTAGTTATAATGTGAAAATAAACATTAAATTGTCTCTTTTATTTTTTAGATCTGACACACTGAAGACCCCAAAGTACATGGTTTTCGAACAATGCCTTATGTCTCTATTCACAATTTGTACAGTTTGTTTCTCAAACATTTCGGCTCACATCAAACAGAGACTGGGAAGTTTTATAAGTGTCCTTCAAGAATCTTCATGTGGGCATATCAGAGAATGGCATTCCCAGCCAATGATCGGGAAACGACCAGCAGGGAACATTTTAATATCAAGTGCAGTGTTGTTTTTGCTGTGAATATAGAGAAAGTTCTGCGAATGTTTAAATTTATACATTTTTCTAGTGTTAGTGCTACAACTTTCTATAAATATCAAAGAGGATATATGTGGCCAGCTATTGAAAAAATTTGGAATTTAACAAGAAATGCAATGCTGGAAGGAATAAGATCAAGACCTGGGAAAGTTATACTTGCTGGTGATGGTAGGTCTGACAGCCCTGGACATTGTGCCAAATATGGTTCTTACTCTCTTCTTGACATCCGCTCTGGAAGGGTTATTGATATACAATTAGTGCAAAGTAACCAAGTCAAGAGTAGCAGCCATATGGAACTTGAAGGCCTGAAGCTTGCTACATGTAGTCTAAAACAGGAAGACATTGTTATTGATGAAATAGTAACAGATCGCCACGTCCAGATTCAAAAGTGGATTCGAGAGAATTTGGTAAATGTGAGACATACTTATGATGTGTGGCATGTAGCCAAAAGTATTAAGAAAAAGCTAACTGCACTATCAAAACAGAAAGATTGTGAAATCATTGGAAAATGGATAAAAAGTATTAGTAACCATGTCTACTGGGCTGCTGCCTCAACTCCAGATGGAGACAGAGAAACCATCTTAGCCAAATGGTTATCTCTGTCAAATCACATACAGAACATTCACCATGGTCATGGTCCTAGGTTTCCATCCTGTCTGCATGGTGACTTGGAGTCAAGACAATGGCTTAAACCAGGTTCGTATATATTCGATGGCACACTGCTTTAAAGAACACATTTAATGGTGGCTGTTGGCTGACAGCATCAATACAAACTTAAAAATATAATTATAAACTAAATTCTTTTAACTTAAGAATATGAATTGATAAATGATTAAGAACATCTGAACACTTTTGTTCCATACAGAAACATAAAATCATTACATTTAAACAAATTATATCAAGTCTATATACATGTACAATATAACATAAAATATCATGTACACTAAAGGATGGTGTAATCTACATTGAATCAGTCGTCATTGATAATAAAATGTATTTACCAAATTCATTTGTGATTTACATAACATATTTGAAAGGTTATCAGTAACATTTTTTGTATTTTAGGAACCAAGGCATGTGCCAAAGTTGAAGACCTAATAACAAACACACGATTGTGTAACGACATTCGCAAACTTTCAACTGACCCACAGACATCTGACCTCGAGGCATATCATAGTGTTGTAAACCATTTCGCCCCCAAACTGCATTCCTACACATTTCATGGTCAATTATGCAGGTCAGTATATAATTTCAATAACAAAGGAAATATCTGCCTATAGATATACATTGTACTATGTTCATCCTTGAGTAAAATATTTAATCATGGAAATTTATTTAAATCTTTAAAATTCTTACTGAATATCTCTTAATTTGAATAAAAGAGTGAATTTAACTATGTATAGGAGCTTTGTTCCCTAATAGCCTTTTAGCAAAGTTTTTACTTCCTTAAAATAAAAAATGACATTGTATATTCATACTGTGACCACCTAAAATGTGTAGAATTGTATGCATAGCAGGTCTACTTTGTGTGCAGTCAGAACATTTTATTTTATATTAATAAAGTATAGTATATCTCTAATCATGTTGGTGATGTAGCCAACACCAGCCAACAATCAATTCCACATTTAATATGACATACCAAAAATGAATTAGATGTATTTAAGTGACTGGTTCATTTACATTTTCTGTATTAAATACTTATGAAAGGGAAACCTTTTTTTTTCAGTCTTAAGTTTTTAAGCATGGAGCTTTTAAGTTCTTTTCATCCTTACACAGTGTATTTCTAATTCTAATGAATTGATTTAAATGAGAACATTTGTAGTTTAAAGAAAATGTATTGAAGTGTTAATGGTACATTAAAATATAGAGTAAATAATTATTAAGATTTTCATGGTTCAATTTCTAATTTCAGACAACATCTTGCTGCTCTGCATTTCAACGAAAACAGCAAAAGAAAGTCTGCTGTAAATAAAGATGGTAATGTTGCCATTCAAATTGCATTCCCAAAATACAAGACAGGGGATGAATTCTCTATAAAAATAAAAAGGGAAAAAATGACATATGAATATGTGGAATCCTTACTCAGGGAAGTGTTGGACATAGCAGACAGAGACTCTGGCCCTTCGGTCCTTTCCACACCTGCCCCACCTTTCTTGAGCAGCGGAAAAAGAAGACCATGCCAAGATGAAATTTCCAGGACGCTAAGTCGTTACACGAAATTCAGATTTGGAGAGAGACGTTGTTTGGAATATTGAAATTTTGGTTATTTGCATAAATAGGTTCTTTGTGGTACAAATTAATTCCCATTTTACAGGAATGATAAGAATTAAGACCTAGTTTTGTATATCTTTGGCATTTATCAGTCCAATAATTTTTGAATAATAAATAGAGTTAAGGACCTTTAATGAATTTATCTTTTTAAAAATCTGTCCAGACTTCTATTGTTATACTGCTAATGCAGTTTTAGTGAAACTTTACATGATTGATCTATCTTTAGTACTGCACATAATACACACGTTTTCTGGTTGAATGACTTTTGCCTAGTTATAGTCCTAGAATTTAAAATGCATTTAGGCATTTTAAGGATTTATTTTTTGCCTGCTACAAAATAGCTGTGACATCACCCCTCAATGCTTCTGCTTAATTAAGCTAACATCAGGCAACATGTGACGGTGAAAACTGATTGCTTTTGTTGAAGTGTTCAATTAATTTATGAGAAGGCATGGCTTCCGTTAATTGAAGTTTTAGAGTCAACTCCTTTATTATGGCTTGTGACATCCAAGATGTAATGATATTCTTTCCTTAACTATATAATATGACTTCCAATGTTAAGAGATTTAGCAGTCTCTGACTCCCAAATTTTTAAAGTTAATGGAAGCCCTGGATAATGTACATTTTTGTTGCATGATTTAAGCTCTTATTCATGTTAAGTAAGATCTAATTGAAAGTACTGGAAAAAAGTATTTTTGTACCCAAACCATTCTCTGGAGTGAACAACTTTTAAAGTGTTGCAACAGTATATAAGAAAGTACTTTTTACACTATGTGACTGTTGTATAAAATTTATAGATATTGTTACTTGTGTATTTGTGTATATAGAAAAGTAATATTACTGTTAATGATAGATTATCATCTAGCTTTCCCTTAAAATGTGGTTGCTTAATAACCGAACAACAGGCTTAAAAGTAATGCCAATTTTAAAAAAAAAAATCTACATTAAAGGGATTCCACTGAGGTTTTTGGACATACTTGGACTGAAAATATTTTTTCAGATTAATGTATCATTTGATGTAAGTTTAGACCACTAATCTTTGTGCAAAATTTCAGATCATCCGCACACTTCGTTTTACCAGAATTAATTATTCAATTGGTAAAATAATGTCCCAAAATGAAAATAGGGCTAAGGAAAGCATAAAAATAAGATTTTCAATTTATTTCAAAATATATTTCTAAACTGTCTTTGCATATGATCCTCTTTAAAGTGCCCAAACTGATTTATGTAAGACTTTAAAATGTTATCTCTTTAGACTTTAAACCTCAGTGGAGTCCCTTTAAAATAACCTAAATTTGAAATAAAATCTAAGAATGTGATTTTCATTTGGAGGAGAATGCTACCATAAGGGAGACATTTAAACATTTAGGGAGGAGATCATAATCTATCAATTATTTTATACAGCCTTTGATATTTATGCTATTTATAGAGAAAAAAAAAATTTTTTTGTTTATTAAAAATAGAAGAGAACCAATAAATGTTGAATTTCATACTGATTACCTTTATATATCTTAGAAATTTGAAAGTCCAAACATTAATTGGATACATGCTAAAGGATAAAATGTGGTAAGAAAATGATGTTTATGCTGCAGTTGTGACAACAACAAGGAATAAGAAACAACTTCTACAAAATAACCTTTTATATAATAAAAAAGACACACACAACTTTTCAGTCTATGTCAAATGACTATATAATCATGTCCCTATCCAGCAAAGTGGAACCCTTCATAATCCTCCGATGGGTATGTAGTTCTTATTTTTATCACGGCACATGATGGTAAGACCACTCGAACTTCCTTCCCAAGGTAGCCCCAACACCATCTGGCCAGCTGCCGATACGCAGTATATCTGTGTCTCCTGAAATGTGAACAGACAAAATTTCATGTTATGAGAACTTTACATGAAATGAATAAATTGAGCTGAGCAGTCCTTTTATTTTTACTTCTCATGTTTAAAAAAAATTAGAATCATCTGTCATTGAAAAACTAATTAAAAGGGTTATTTTCATTATTTTTTATCACTGACCAAGTTGAATGATTTCACAATAGATAACACACAGTAAAAATTGTACAAACCTATTAATGTCTTCCTCGTCCCTTTCCCCATACTGCTGACGATACTGGAGATAGGCTGTCTCCAGTACATACCTATCAAGGCAGACTGTACTGAACCCCGGATGAGCAGTAATACAACTCAGGCCCTGTCCAGTTTCTGTCTTGTGCTCGTCCATCTTGTCAGATACTCTGGTGACTCTACAACAACACCGGCACTCTACTGCTGTTGCCATCATTTGACAGTTGTGACATGTACACCTGGAAAATAAAAATCATTGCTTCAGTCAAAATTAATTACTAAAAATAATGTGAATTCGATGACAGTGTCTTTCTAATACTAATGGTCATTGCTGAAAAAAAATATATCAGCTATTGCTCCGACCTGTCCGAAATTATCCCATCCGAAATACCATCGACTCTTTACCGCTGAAAATGTATTTAACAAAGAAATATCAAGTAAACTATAATTTATGCAGGTGCATAGTACATTAAACAATCGCTAAACTATAAATGCCTGACATGTTAAAACCATATTAAAATGTTTACCATTCGCCAACATCCTGTAGCTGTGTCGATTCCACATCGTCATTTTCTTCCCCGGAGTTCGACTCGTTAGAACTGACAAGTGCTGTCCTAAGCGGTTCAAATTGGTAAGGGTTAATACCTTCCCCATAGTTCTCTCCTTCTGGTGAGCTATGATCGTCCAAGCTAGTATTGTTTGATGAAAACTCGTCAAAACTTTCGCTGCTTGAACTATACGCCATTGTAACTGATAGTGTGAAAATAAACATGTACCTCCTGTGACGTCACAGCCGTAGAGGCGATTCGTTGCATTCCGTAACTTTCCGTATTTTAAATCGGCATTTTCCGTACAGGTGCGCTCAGTGCTTTATGGATTGCTTGATTACGACTTACAGGAGTGACTCCGGTTCATAAAAACGTTCAGAAAAATTTCTTAAAGAAATACTCTTTCATAAAATGTCTACTTTTATGTAGGGTTTTTATATCCTTTAACATATGATTCAGGAAACAATATCTTAAATTGAATTATCATGTAAATCCACCACAAAGAAAATTCGTAAGTACAACTTTCTGTGGGTCATCTTATTACAATTGATAATGATAGAAGAGATGTAAAAACTAGACTAACGTTAACACGACATATATAACTTCATGTGTTAAAGATTGTCAAGAACAACCCGATTGTCTGAAAATTTTCAGCCGTTAATATTATTAAGCAAATAGAAATGACATGCAACTTTAGATAAACAGAAAACACGTTCTGAGTTACTAGCATATTGTAGTATTGAATTTTCATTGTGCAATAAATCTAGGTCAGTGCTAAATAGGCAATAACCACATGCAGCTCGTGGATGGTATATTTTACAAGTAGGTTTTATCTTAACGATAATTATATCAAATATATAAATATTATTTATACCCGTTTCTAGAGTTATTCAAATTTCTTAATTGTATGTCATATTCAAAATATATAAAAAAGGTACTGAGCATTTAGCATCCACTTTGATTACTTTTTGACAAAAAGGCATTCATTTAAAATATATTTATAAATGGTTCCAATTGGAGAAATGGTTTCATACTTGTCTACATTATTATTTAGATGCTGCTCGCCAGCAACCAAGTATGATCGTCTTTAATACCTATGCCAGATTTTCGGCGTCTAAACTTATGCTGGATATATACGGCGTCTAGATGTCGCCGCTAATCTTGGTCATCGCTCTTTCTAAGAAAAGGACAGTAAAGTAAACAAATGTCCGTCATAAACCCACCGATTAACTTAGAAAACTTGATAACACAATATAAATACGAGAAATGTTGTTGTATTGTTGTTAATATTCATAAATACTCTTCACATTTCTTTGTGAGAATAACGTTTAGTGCCAATTTTTTATGAACTTGTGTTCTTTCAAGAACGGTTCTCATGTCAAATATGGTCAACAGGATCAACAAGGAAAGGCGGCGTTCAATGAACGCATTCATCACACAACCCAGCAACAAGAAGTCACAAATCCTGCTCTAAATGCCCCGATTTTTTTCTACTGTCAATCTGTACATAATAATGGTGTCTTGGGTAGAGTTACTGATTTTTTTAATGAGTTTATAAATTTTTAATGTTGCGCTTTGTTGAATGCTATTATGTCATCTAAAAGTGCAAGTTCAACGACAGCAGCCATCTTGAAAGTCACTGAGAGTCGATTACGTCATTTTGCACGTGCATTCATTTACTCGCCAATTATGGAATAATAATGCCGGGTGGCAAGGCAGCCAAAATTGCACAATGTCTTAAATCTTTTCATAATGGCTTTGAAATACCCTAGGTGTTGTTACTATAAACAACAACATAAGTATTAATATAACATTAAAACATATCGAATTCTTACGAAATCACAAGTTCCTTAAGGGGATAATACATAAATTAATATATTTATATTGTAACCAAGAAAATATTTTGATCGGATTGAAGGTAACATTGCTTGGCCGTTTATGGCATTTGACGACCTACAGATATGGTATATTTTTATTCTAGCATGATAACAAACATTCTCATAAGAGATATTATTTATTCAAGTGGAGATGGCCACATTTTGTATTTGTATTTTCTTTTCTACTTTGATTTTGCATGTTCAATTTCTAGCACTACTGTTGCTTACTGGGTAAAAGAAGCTATATGAAAAGAACTGTACAGTTCTATTTTCATTCTTTTTAATAAACAATTGAAACTTACATACATGTCTGGATTTTATAGTGTTGACTCATCCATCCAGCCTCGGTTTATTCGTTTTATCGAAAAGGGCAAATGAATGAAAAGTACAGTCGCATATGTGCATCCAGTCTTTGTTCTTGTTTTTGGCAGATGAGTGAGAAATATCAGTTCTCAGACATGTTCTCAACTAACAAGCAACTTAAAGTATTTTCCATTCGTCTTCATTATACAGATATTTGTCATATTTTTCAGAGAACGCAGACTATCAATTATGCATACTGATGATAAATGTTAGCCTAAAGCATATGTCCCACGTATTTTATTTAGACTTCATGATATACATTATTTTGATGTGAAAAGCATATTAAAAGTTTAGTTCACAAGAAAATATGCTTTATATTTGGTCAGTCCAAGAAAAACCAAACAAATCAGCGAAAAGTTACAAATAGATGACGTAGGAAAATTATGAGTGTCTATGCAATATGTAAAGAAATCAATTTACAAATAAGTCAGCCTTGAAGATGTAGTAATATAAAAAGGTTACCAATAAAAGATAACTTTATTGCACCTTATGGTATATACGGGATATCATTTGTTCAGGAAGTATAGGATGTTACATACTAATTAGATTGCCTTAGTAAGGACCTCAAAAAGAAAGATTTATTGTTTAATAACAAGTATTTGTACTGAAAATAGCAAAGTGTATCAACGTAAATCGATTGAGTTTTGAATTAATTCAATTTCTAATATCACTATATATGATCATGTATTGCCGAAGCATATGTGGCCAAGCGATAAAGATCATTGACTTCGAACTACTTGGCCTTCACCGCTGTGGGTTCAAATTCAGCCAGAGATCTATAACTATGTATGACTAATACAGTGTCGATGAACTTTCAAACCCAGGAACAGCAGCAACAACAACAAATACAAACAGAGTTTCATTAAAACATGTGTTTGCATAACAGTTTAGATACATGACTTGTCAAAAAATTATTTAAGCATAAATATCGTTGGTTCTTAGTATTCTTGAAATATTTGTATCGGTTATTGGACGTTTGTCCTAGCTTTAAATATTCATGTAACGAATAGTAAAACTATGGCTGAGTCTATCATTTTTCGTGTCCTTTGGTGTTGATTTCCGGAGTATGAGAGGAATAGTAAAGTAAAAACAAAAGGTAATGATTCACACAATTGGAAAAAATATCTAGTAATTATACTTAAACTGTTTAATTGTTCTGATGATTTTCCTTATTCAATACAACACAAGTTCACCACGTATAGTGATTTAATATAAGAATTTTTCATGGCATTTCTGACAAATGATAAGCTTATAAATTTAACAGAAGTGTCACCTCTGAAAAAAGCATTTTTGTTACTAATTCCGTTATGTTTTACCACACAGATTATTTTGTCATGCACTATGTGTCTAAGACAAATGCTGTATGTACTGATGATACTGTATATACCTTTATCTTAAATGTTCATGCAATTATTTTGTATGTGATATGACAGAAAATCATCTCTCTTATTTTACTTATTTTTTTTTTTATTTTTATTTTTTATATATGGGCAATGTGTACTTCGGGATAGCAATTTCTTCATTAGCAATGTTACTGTTAATCACAGTGTATCATCCTTGATTGCAAATAGTTTACAAATGAAAGAAAGTAATTTTCTTTTTTTATATGACAGCGGACAAAAACCAATAATGCACACACTGTCTTTAAATTAACATTTTAATTAACCGATTGCTTTTTTCATCTCTTCTTTTAAATCTTGCACTGATTTATTGCCTTCGTTGAAATAAAAACAGACAAAAGCACGCGATGAGAAGCAGTTTTGCACACTTTTGATACGCTTAAATCAAAGTGGTCCAGTAATGTTAATTTTACAGTGTAAATCAAACAATGCTTTATTGTTATGTCAACTGCTTTTAATTTGATTCCACACAGAAATGAATAATACAAACGTCTTGTTCATCCTTTGATGTAATACAATGAGCTTTGATAAAGAACACCAGAAAAAGTGAACAAATTTAATGGTTAAAAACACTTTCAAATCCATAATAGACTTGTCAGAAAACAACACGAATCCTTTCCTTTTACAAGTTGTATTACTCAAGTTTACAAACACTCAAAATAAGTTATTTATTGTAAGTACTGAGTTACCATTGCTAATCAGTAAAGTCAGATGATAAATAGAATGATTGAATAAAATATTCAATTTGTTAAAAATACCGAATTAATTACGTGACATATTTCAAGTACATTTGTATATTAAATACAATTTGTCATTTAATTCTATTGCATAAATTAGTTTAGTTTTTTATCATTTTATTTTATCTACAATGTATTTGTATATTTGTTTTCATTTTCCTTTTTTCTGAAAATTTGTTTATTTCACCTAATAGAACAGAAATGTCGCTCCATACAAAATTATTTTGACTCAAGCAATGCCACCAGATCATTCGTATTGTATACGTAAAATACATTAAATTGCATTATCTTTTAAATAAACGGTCATATGAATTTCGAGTGCTTTGCTGTAGCTCTGTTTTAGTGAAACTGATCAGTTATATAACTATATAAAGGCGGGTATAAAAGCAGTTGTTCTACAATGCAAGAACGCATTTCTATTTTAGCATGCTAATATGTAAGAAAATGAAACTACATTGAACGAAGTAACTATGACGTAACAACGTTGTATGCAATTTCAGCTTTACATTTCTTATTTTGGCCATATATCGTGTAATAACACACCCCTATTGCCATAACAATTAAGTGAAGCTTATCAGAATATGATATTCCCTTAAAAAGACGTATCTCATGTAATGATCAATTCTCCAATTAGAGTTAATAGTGACAGAAAATTGTTATAAAACTTTTTCCGTGAATGTGTCATAAATAAATTAATTTGTCTTGTAGGTCGACACACAATTGTACTAGTTTGTCCTCATTTTTTCTGGTTAAGCAACTGCTAGTAAAACGTTGATAATGAGCAAACCGGAAACAACAAGGTCATTTGAGAATAAGATGACGTTAAGCCATCATTTATAATTTAACAATATTGTGAAGACATTCCGGAAAATACTTCCTCTTGAGTTTTTCCGCCATGACCTTGAATTAGTTATATGTGCTTCTCGTGGAGGCGTTGCTTACGTTATTATTAAACATGTAATTCATTATAAATTCACGGTCTTAACAAAACGCTAAA